CTATATTACTTTTTTTGCTCTTTGTTTCTCGTGGGAAATCTTCCATGCCATATTTTCTACTACCTTTCGTAATATGTTCTTACTATTGTTACCAGATGCGGCGCAAGTTTCAGTTAGGTTTATCAATTTTCCTTACTCAGTATTTCTATCTACATTTATGTAATTGTTTTTAACCAGTTAACAAATCTAAAGAGAGTATCGTTAATTTGAAAATGATATTCGCTTAGAAATAAATATTACGTTTGTTTTAAAAAATGTTTGCTGATTGATTAAATTAGTAACGTATTAGGATGATTTTTGGATAAATTTTACTCCTGTCAAAGATCCTAAAGTTTCTTTAAGAACGTTGTGGTTTGGCTTCGTTATTAAAATTTTCTTTCAATTTTTTGATGTTAGCATAAACAGATTGTCTTGTTTTAAACAGGAATTTCAATGATATTATCCGATTGTGATAGTATGAAAAAAATTTCTCACATAGTTTGAATGATTTCAAAGAGTGAACATGTAAAAAGAATATATTTCCAAAGACATTTTACAATATACAAACGTGTATTCATTTTTGACACTAACATTTAAGTTACTATTGTTGTCCTTAAATATGCTATTCTTTCGTAATTCTTTGATTGAAATGACGTCTAAGTGTTTGTATAATTTTCCAAAAAACATGTTTTGAAAAATGAATTCTAAGTAACAAATTGCTATCGAATATTTAATACGAAGTCTGAATATGTGTCACGTGGATTATAGTCATATCTATTTTAGAACACCTGGCAATACTATTCAATAATAATAGTATAAAAGTAAGAATAGCTACTATTTGATGTTACCTCATATCTTAAAGTATACAAAACATTAAGATTATATAAAAGAAATTTAAAAAAATTATAATTATTTTCTGTCAAATTGAAAGTTGCTAAGTAAACTAATCTAGTAAAAACAATTTTGTAGTTTTGTAATTACCGAGATTTGTTCACGGAGTTAATCGTGAATTACCTCTGACATCATGAATTCATTTCCATTTCCTAGGGAAGGAAGACTCGTGGTTTCTGTGTTTTAGAACAAAATTTTAAGGAGTACGCGAGATAAAAGTACAGAGGTATAAAATGCGGAGTAAAGAACTGATGGCGTTACAATATATGCGGTATCATTTAAAAAGAAGGCAAGAGCATTTGAATTTTGCTTTTGTTTCTGGAAATTAGACCCACCACTGATATATGTACATTTTCTCAACTGTACGTGTGATTCGATTTGCAAAGTTCTACTATTCTTCTTACCACGGTGAAATAAATTAGCGACTCCCGGATATTTTACTATAGTTTCTTCATCGTTCCATTCCACTACGTACCAACGTCATGGGTTAACGGGGAACGACGAATCACGGTATTTTAACAACTCTGTCGAGTAGATCAGTACCAACAAAGCCTTGAACGGTATCCAAACGGTGCCGCGAGAGAACGTCTTTCGTTTCCTCAACGAATTTTCAGTTTGTCGTGTAATTCTGTCGCGATAGCATTACGCACGTTTCAATTTCTCGCGACTCTCCTGAACCGGAATTACAGGCAGATAAAGTGAAAGACTAATGTGTGCAACCGAAGGAACACGATAGTGTTGAACAAAGGATACTTCCTTGTTCGTAGTTCCAGCGTGAAACGTGATTTTGACATGTACGCCAATATCTGGGTAAAATATCTTTGGAAGAAATAATTTATAAACTTTCTGAAGTCACGTCAAGTATTTGTATATTTGACTAATTTACAGTTCAAGTACTCTGTGCCATTACTTAAGTAAATGTCACCAAAATGTCGGTAATATTGTTCTAAAATGTTAACAAATTTCTTAATTTCACTGCTTCACTATAAATGTCGTAAGTTTGTTGACCCACTTTATCATAACGTGGTTGTTTAGCTCATACGATAGAAAGTGTGATTGGAGTAAAAGTATAAGTTATTTCCGTTATTGTTACGTTGCTGCTATATTTACAAATGCTTGTATCTCTTACTCTCGTGAAACTTAATTTTTTTTGTTTTGAAAAGTACAACGAATTCTGTAGGTAACTAACGAAAGAAGAAATAAATCTATTGCATTTCTTTCTCGCGCGTTAAAAATATTTGCATAATGTCCTATGTGTTAATGTATTGCTTTCTAATTGAAATAGATTATACGGAAAGGTAAATGGTACATAGTAAATAAAACTTTTATCTTTTATTTAATTAAATTCAAAAGCTTAATATGTACGAGTGCTAATTAAATAAACGTTACTCAATGTAAATGATGGAAACTTGAACAAATCACATTGGAAAACTATTCGCTGCAGAATTTTTTGAATTGACACATATTTTCGTATGCGAAGTAAAAAATATACGGGAACATATTTGAGATTCTACTAACGAAATTTATTAGCAATAAGTATAAAAGTGCTGAGAAATTAAATTTGTTATAAAGATTAAATAAAGTATTTTGCCTCGTGAACTTGGGTATTATATTTTTTATTGAATTTACGTAATTAATCCAGTTTCTCCACGTTATCATGATTTCGCTTGCCATGTATTGTTAGTCGTAAAGATTTATTCTGTGTATTATCCACATTGCTTGCGCTATGGGCTCTAAACATTATTTTTTCCTGGAGTGAAATATTTTTGGAGGATAAAAATAAGAAAATTTTCGTATCAAAGATCACTCTACTTTCAACGCATTCGGTATCTATTGCATTCTACCAATACATTTCGGTTTTCTGTCACTTTTCGTATTTTCTGTGACTTTTATTAATAATTCAGATCATCAGATCTATTATCACGATGGTTTTATATAACAAATGACATGTTATTAGATTTGTTTAGAACGAGACACTTCATAGTACAACAAAGTGTTGTCGCTGGCTTTTTATAGTTTGATAGAAACAAATCAGCTGTATTTTATAATTACCGAAATATTCGAAGAAACGAATTGGACATGCTTGATACAAAAGTGATAATAAACAAGAAAGAGATCATTTGATCGAGATTTTAGTCATGATTGGGTTCTTCACTTCACATTATATCGATCTACGAAATAACAATCGAAATTTATATTAATATTTTAATACACTCCCATCTATAAGTCACTATATAAAATTAGAATAAATTTATCAAATTAAATACGTACCAATGGTTTATAAAAACATGTAATTATACTCTCTTTCTAATTTCTAACATCATTACAAACGGACTTCAATAAACGTTTTATTCAAAACTACCGATTTATTAATATCTTCCACTTTATTACCTTTCGAATACAAAAACTCTACATACAAACTCCATATACAAAAAATGGAAGTATAAATAAATTTAAATCAATACAATAGGAAAGGTGACGACACTGATTTTACCATAAACTGTTAAATGCATTTTTTCAAAGTGGTATAAGTCCATTTGTAGTTAACAAAAACCTTGTTTTTCCTTAACAATGTTGGTAATTATTGTCACCTAATAAAATATGACATATTTACAATTTTAGAAGCATTAGACGAAATTATTAACGTTTGTCAATATTTTTTGATCAATTCAAACGCTAATTTAAGTATCTCAATGTAAGAATAAATGGACTTATACCACTTTAAAAAAAGGACAGTCCATTTATGCAATAACATTTAACAGTTAAACTCCTTTTGATGAGTTCATGAGGATACTGTAGTGTATTTACTTTGTCACTATAAATATGAAAAGAAGACGTTTAGCTGAAACTAGCCATTTTTTTTAAAATTGAACTTTGAAGAACGCGATCATCTATCATAACTATATTTTGTGATTGATTCAATGATTTGATAATATATTAATTGCCAGCTTATACCATACATTTTATAGAACTTTGAATAGACCCTTAAATTGATAAGTCGAATGGAATATTCTATTATGTACTATAAATGTACTTTTTACGTGGAGTTTGCCGTTGCTAATGAAACATGTGTTCCAATGAAACATCTTTCAACATGGCAGAACAGTGTCTTATTTCGATCGAAAAATCTGAAATTTATTAAATAAACAACACCAATGTTGGATAAATCATACCGCACAGTACCTTGATTTACAAAGTTTCCAGATTTTTAGAGTTATGTCAGAGAGAATAGTATGTACAGAAAGTAATACGAGTCATATGTAAATAATGTGAAGAATTACACAATACTTAAACAAATGTTTCTTTTGAGTTTTACAAATTTTCATTCTTTGTACATATGTATATAATAGTTTCAATATGACTTTATTAACAAAAAGTTACATTGACAACCGGATGATTCTACATACTAGAATAAAGCAAAAATATACATAGAATAAAATTGTTTCCTAAGAGGGAATTAATAAACGATTTGCATTAATAATCGATGTCAACGGCATAACAAGTACTGATACTACATTTATTACCTATTTCCTTCATTTAAATTTACATTACTGAATGAATTATTGAAAGTGACGTCCTTGGTGATGCATACAAATCCTTCCTCTTTGGATATGATAATCGTAGACTGATGATACGGTACCTACATGTTTTCATACGGTAGCCTGTACGATTCTTTTAGCTACAGAAGATTTACATTATCTTTCGCGTAGGCTATTTGTTTGAGAAAAGTGACTACCACTGTTTATCAACATAAATGTATATGCGGAAGCAACAGTTTCGTGGCGAATTTTTAAATTCAATTTTCTCGAAAACTAAGCCTCTTATTCTGTATTTTCAACTTATCTTTGCACGCAGAATCACTCTCTGCTCTGCAAAACCTTCGGCAATGCAGTCATGTTGAATATTATCTTTAAGTTTGGTATTTTATGTAAAACTTTGTCCCTTGCGTAGTTGTGTTAAATGTTTTTATTATTATACAAATAAGCACAGTATATTTCTAATGTAATGAATTTATTGAAAATGTTTATTTGTAGTGTCAACGTGGCAAAGCTGTCAGTAATTCCGGGAAAAATATAATCAAAATGCAAACTGCATGGATTGTTCTTTTGAACATATTACTCCATTGCTGTCTTTGGGAGCGCACCGTTGCCGAAGAAAAACTTCGCGTGGCCTTCCAGTGGAAACAGCTTGATTATGACTGGCCAAACAACGACACTAAGCTTCTTTTTACAGGGTATAAGCAAGAGGATAATCTTCCCCTTGGTCTCGAAATCACGAGCAATAGGATTTTTGTTACCGTACCGAGATGGAGGCGCGGTGTTGTTGCGAGTTTGAATTATTTTTCCATTAACGGTGAGTACAATTGACAGATTACTCTATATGGGTTTTACTAACTCTTTTTAATCATTTTCTAAAACATTAAATTAGAATTGTAGGAATATTAGCAGAACTAGGGAAAACATTTGTTTGTACAATTTAATTAAAATACAGAACAAGTACCCACGATTTGTTTCATTGCACGCGTTCCTTACACACTTCTTCTATTTCAAGAAGCCAACTAACATTTCTCCGTTTACCTATCATATTCATACATATCTTATTAAATAATTTTCAATAAATTGACAATAAAAAATTGTAATTTTAATAACACAATCATTGCAATTCCTGTATAATATAAGTGGGGAAAATTTTGAAGGTTGATTCAAGAGAACGAAATAAGATGAAAAACAAAAATAGACAAAATTTCGAATTCTGATCTTTTTCGGCCCCAGTTCCAGCAGTTCCTTATGTTGTACTTATGCACTTATTACGGGACAACTAAAGTAAGAGATCGAAATGATCTCGAGGTCGCATAACTGGTTGACCCTGAATGTCATTAAAGTCGTGGCCACCTCTCTATTTGGTATTAAATAATATATATCTGATACTCGCAAATTATTTGGACAGTATTTTTTCTGTTATTGTCAGGGAAGACAATAGCGTCGTTTTTCGGAATTTTTGTAAAAGGCAGGACCGTTTTAGCTACAAACTTAAAAAGAAAGCCGCTCGGCAGCGGCTGTTTGCAAGTGATGATTTCACCGTATTTTTAATCATTTATAAGTTCATTTATTTGGGAACATTTCTGTAGATATTTCAAACGAAACAGCCGCAGAGCGGATATGAACATTTTTATGTTTCGATATGCTCCTGTGGATTCCAGTGGGTAGGCAGGTTTAATGTTCAATCGACAATTTTGTTTATGAAGTGTTGTAGGTCATTTGCAAAGCGCAATGTTGCTTTCCTCCATTAGTTTTTGAAGAGTACTACCCCCTTTTCCCTTTGCTGCAAATAACTTCTGGACGGATTGCCAGGCCTCGAGCTAATTTTTATTTGTTGAAAAATGAAGTCGAATTCGAAATTTCTTCCATATGTTGCCCATACACCTTGTATACAGGGTGTTTCGGAAATCGTGGTGCAACCGGAAAGGAGGTAATTCCTCGTGTAAAAGTAAGTCGAAAATATAGGGAAAAAATTTGTTCGTATAAAGCTCTGTTTACGAGAAAATCAAATTTGAATATTATATAGACTAACCACATTGGTTTGAATATTCAACGCTATTTCTGTCAGTCTAAATTTGGTATAGTTTAAAATAATGCAATAAGTTTCAATATGTTTATTTTATTAATTAAAAAATTGCTGAAAATGTCGTTCTTGACGTCTTCTTGCTCGGCGAATTAAAGACGCACGAATCCATGATAATGTGTTGAAATTCTTCACTTCCTCAAACACCTGCACGATATCGTCTTTTAATTGGAGACTGTTTTTATTATCTTCAGAATGGTGGAGTCGCATTAAAGAAATAGTTGATTCTAAAGTTAACGAATATTCAAATTCGATTTTCTCGAAAACGGAGTTCTACAGTATACAAGCGATTATTTCTCTAAATATTGAAAATACAAAAAAATGTTTCCGATAAATGTTGTACGGTGTCCAAGGATGATAGTAATTATTCGACTTTGCGATGATCTTGGAGTCCTGTGAAGATTACGTCTTAATTTTTAAATAGATTCTTACATTCTTTATTACATACTTTTGTAACTGTTACCAAACTGTTTTCAAAACACTACCTGAACATGTATTTTGCATAACCTGTTGTTGAGTTATAAGGCTTCAAAGGCGCGGGGAGGTAACTCGATTGGACTCTGTATGCTTCTAGACGAAAAACAATTGAATCGAGCCGCGTCGATACTGTGGCTCATTTTTGTGCTTTTCCTGCAAAGATTACAAAAATGTGTTTTTAATGATGAAGGACATGTAGAAAGACAACTATGTATCTTAAAATGGAAGTGAAGAACACTCACACACACACAAAATCAGTTCTTTTTAAAGCCAACATGATATACAAAGTCCTACCGAGCACGCCAGATTTGAAACTTAATGACTCAACAACAGGTTATGTAAAATACATGTTCAGGTAGTGTTTTGAGAACGGTTCGATGTCAGCTACAAGAATGTGTAATAAAAAATATAGGATTCCATTTAAAAATTTAAATGTGACATTCACAGGGCTCTCCAACGTCATCGCAAAGTCAAATAGTTATCATTACGATGTGTTCCCCTTAACACCATGCAACGTCAGTCTGAAACATCACGTGTACACATTTAAACCGGACGTGCTGTATATGGAAACAATTTTATTCTATACTTTCGACTTACTTTTACGTGAGTAATTGTTTTCTTCTCTGTGTACCACGATTTCCAGAACACCTTGTATAAAGTAGGTTGCGCTTGGTTGGTGAAACCAGACTAACTCGTTACGTCGCAGCTTCATCCAGCGGATGGTTTGATAGAATCATCTTTTAATTTCGCGTAAGTTGTTCAGATTTTTCATAGATGAGTAATAATTGAGGTGTGTTGCGAATATTGCTTGAGTTATGTGCCAGTATCGTTAAGCATTGGTGTTTTGCATCGAAACGCTTGATTCTTGTAAAAACTGAATCAACCATTTTGAAATTGAGATATATTTGGTTAGTTACTTTTTATATTTTGTTGCAATATAGGTACACAAGAAAGATTGATTTTTACAATTCGGGAGGTTGGTACGATAAAGAAATAAGTGACCAAGTAGCGAATATAGAGGTGAATAAGCTACGTACATTGATAGTCTAATAAAGAAAAGAATAGACTGGAATAATAGTCGTGTTTGGAAGTGTGCTAGTCGGATTCAGAAGAGAGAAGAAAATAAGAAAGGCAGCAATATGCGGTGGCTCTAAGGCAGAGTCGCTCGGCAAGTTGCTCATAGGGCAGTAGTCAGACTAGGTCGAGCATACAGCAGCAATAAGCTACATCTTCTCGGGCAATGATCACAGGATGGGGCATTGTATGTACTAGTAGTGATTGCCCTACCTAAGAATGAAAACTATGTTTCGACGATAGAGCCTACACTCCTACTACAACCGTTGTTTCTCACTCTGATTTAACACGTTCGCTGCCATCAGAAAATCAATAGACCGCACATGTTGCGTCGGTGGCAGCGAACGTGTTAATGATTGTCGACGTCACTTGCCCCTAGCTTTGCTCACAGTACCGCCCGAAGCCCGAAACAGGCCTGTTGGGCGACCCTGCTCTAATAAGTGTTGGAAATAATCAGCGACGTAAGATACGAGGACGAGTGCGACGGATGTCTTCTTGATTATCTTCTGATAGAAGTGTAGAAGTCGAATTGCCAATTTTTCTCTTTCTTCAGCTGCCAAGAAGGCGGTGAAGAGTACGGACTTTATAATGTTTCTTTACTGGTTTTATTTTTCCTCTTTTTACTTGCTTGAGTGAAGTTTCCGTTCAGATCATCATTTGGCGAGGCCTCAGGGCCCGGGGTTTTGCTTATTTTTTTAGTACTGACGTTTTTCGTATTTCTTCCTGCTTGAAGTTTACTTTTTCTACGTTTTTCACTGCTGAACACTCGCACGGCTGTCGGTGAATTTTTTAGACCAAGGAAGTAGTTACCTTGCTATATTGTTTTTCACAATACCGATGTTTCTAGAATTCCTTGAACGAAATTAAGTTCCAGTAGAAGTTATTGAAAAATTTTGCCAGACAACTAACGATTGCTAGTGCCTCGAAACACGTAGCTATTAAGTGTTATAGAGTTGATTGTTTGGAAGAATGCATGAGAAAGTTTAGGGATGGCAAGCAGCACGACGTTGCGTTGCTTTAAAAATGGGAACATTGTTCGTAGAGGATCTAGTCACGGAGTGGGGAAGAGTGGAGAGGTGAGGGTGCCCCGGTAAGAGGATTGTGAGGAACAGCGCGGCACTTAAATACCTCAGAACCATTGAAGAGAACAGAAATATAGAATAATTATCTAACGTATACATGGTGTTTTAAAACTTTGAATATGAGTTCTATGTGACAAAGAAAGCAAAAGAATTTATATAAACGAATTTTAGAAATTCTATGAATTAATGCTAACGTCAGAAAGATGAGTTTAAAGTAAATGTTCGAAATATGTTCCATAAGATTCAGTAGATTGTAGAACTCGTTCAAAGATTCCAGAATTGACACAAACATTTTCATAGGAAAAAATAAAGTATATGTGCATGTTATTTAATAATATGATTACAATGTGCGAAATTAAATTGTATCTCAGAAAAAGAGCAATTGAGGGGTGTACAAGGTACTTGGAGGGAAGATGTCTAAGGTTTTTTATTAAATCTGTAAAAAACTTAATACATACATTTCTATCAAATCAACGAACTTTATTTGTTATCTAAATCATACACTACGAAACGAATACTACAAAATTAACAAAAGCTAAATGTTAGTCCATAAAAACAACAATTTTTCTCATATAGAATCTGGCATCTTACCCCAATGTGTTGCGGAAGATATGCTCGTTAAGTAAATTAAATTGTACACCAATCATTTGTGCGAAAGTCAGAATGAATAAGAAAAATACCTTCTTTTCAGCTAGCAACTCACCGCTGCTGATAACACTTTTTTTTTTTATTACAACACAAAATATCAAGCGACAGAAAAAATTGACCGGATAAACTCTAACAATAAGTTATGGTTGTTTGGCATCTTCCCCCGAATTACTTTATAAACTTTTTCCTCGTTTGGACACGTAAAATTTATACTCAAAGTTTTGCCTAACTTTATCCAACTAATCCAAGTTTATAGGATTTTTTCTTATCATCTTTAAAACCGTACGGACGGCACTTCTGAATTTTTACTTACAATATTCGTCAATGCTAATATACTCGATAATACCCTTGAAAAATTTAATTTTTAGATATGTGAAACAACACAGATAAGTCCACAAAAGCGGGTGGAACTTATAATGTGTGTTTTGCGAACAATATTTTAAACGAACTATTTAAAAATTAATTTCTAAACACGTAGGTGTACTTTTCCATTAATTATGTGGTAAGTTTAAGTCTAAGATAGTAATTATTTATTGTCATTGTTCTAGACACGCGAGAATCCCCTACATTGATGCCTTATCCTTCGTGGGAGGCGCACCAATACACAGATGGAAGCGTACCAGAAATTATTTCAACATTTCGAATCCGAGCAGATCGTTGTGAAAGGCTCTGGGTTCTTGACACAGGATTTACTGATATTTTGGATAATCCAGAACAACAAGCACCGCCAGCATTACTTATCTATGATTTAACGAACGATCGATTGTTACGAAAATTCGTTATCCCTGAAGATCAAAAAACGGCCGATTCACTTTTCGCGAATATCGCCGTCGAAGATTATTCCTGCGAGGATACTTATGCGTACTTGGGTGATTTGGGTGGCCCAGGAATGGTAGTTTATTCGTGGAAGACGGATAAATCATGGCTTGTCAAACATCATTTCTTTCACCCTGATCCTCAGGTTGGTACTTTTATTACTATAACGATAATGAAGTTTTTTTAAAACGTTGTTCATCTCTTTCTCAATATTTCTTCATTATTTTTAATTTTACACTTTTACTACAGTTTAGATTACTTTAATCATTTATTTTGCTATTAATTATTGCTAATTGCTTAGTCGATTTATTTAAAAATTTGTATATTATATTAAAATTTATATTTTTCCATGTTTTTCTATTTATTTTCTCTCATTGCAGTAATGGAGGCGAGTGTTAGGGAATGGTCAGTTGTTTCTCAAACCTCCATTTTCTATCAAAGAACTTATAAACCGATTAAATGATTAACAGTCATCCAATGAAATACATTGATTTTATTCACAATTTTGGGAATGAATATAAGTGTTACGTTCGATAGTTCGCTGCATTTCCCTAACAGCCTCTTTATTTTATTCTAGCATAAACTTTGTTTTTGTTTGCGAAAAATGTAAAGAATGAGTTGTGGTAGAAGGAATATAAAGGGAAATAAAGGAAAATATTTAGTTTTAGAAATTCAAAAATATTTATTCATAAAAAATGGCAAGCTTTAATGATCAAAAACATATTAGCTAGATAAAACATAGATCTAATTAGTTGAAACATGTAGATTAAATACTAAATACAATTTAGTGTCATGAAACGATAGAACTTAATTGTTATATTTACCTTACAATAAATAAACTGTTGAAATATTTGTATTTGCTATTAGTAAATGTTATTAAAGAGAGAGATGATCTTTTTGCAAGCAAAACATTAATTGTACATAAATGCATTTAACTTTTTGAAAGTGTAACACTTTTTAGGGTGGAGAATTCAATGTGTCAGGAATTTCTTTTCATTGGACTGATGGCCTGTTCGGTATTAGCCTTGCACCAACGGGTGATGGATACAGCACAATGTATTTTCACCCACTTTCCAGCAGCATGGAATATTCGGTTAGCACTAAGCTACTTAGGGATCCTGAACGTGCCACTTCTCTAGGTAAATGATATAAAAATTTTATTCTACTTGTACGAAATAAAAACTGAAATAATAACTTCATATTACAACGAATTAATCGTAATATAACAATTTAGATTTTATCAACTAATAATTATAACGATTCCTCCCTCTTGATAAGTTACTTTTTATTCTCTTAACCGAGGAGGTACATGTTTATTTATTCTGCACGTAAATATGCAGGGCGTATTTTTATTTTCAAATTCAACAGTGTGTTTTATATTTATGAAAAACTAGGAAATGTATGGGCAAAATTTGAAATCCTTCGGTTTAAAATTTCTTTAATGTTGTGTTGCAGTATACCATAAATATGTATGCTCTTTCTTTGTGATTTTATAGTTATTACAGTTAATATAATAATTATTTTACAGAATGTCCAAGTTATGCTAATTAATTTAGTTGAATCAATAATATTTTGATTTAGTAATTTTAAAAAATAACGCAAGAAATTTGAATTTCTAAATAGAAACCAATTCTAGTTGTACATGTATTAATAAAGCATAATAACGATGATAAGCAAAGTAATCACACGATATGCTTTAATTTTAGTTAAGAATTACGAAACGATTAAATACTTTTTACTTTTGTGATTACAATGTCATAGGCCATTGAACTTATCTCGATAAGGTTATAACGTCATATGATCAAAAATACGTAATAATGTACAAAAATAAATTAACGACTTTGAGATAATTATAAAAATTGCCTTGTAAGTAATTTTTAATATCATCGTATACAGAGTGATCCATTTTAATCTACAAATGCTTATATCTTGGAAAATATACTGATTTTCAAAACTTGCTTTTGGGAGATTAAAAGATGTGAAAGGAAATAAAAAAGTGTGTAAGTAAATTAGCCATCAGCAATAGATTAACTGCGATACGTATTATTTGCGTGTGTAGTACGTTCATGGGATATACAGGGTGAGGCAAAAACTTTGTCCGCCTGGAATATTTCCGTTATTTATAATATGGAAAAAATGTTATGTACAAAACTTGCACGATATGAAAGGAAACATAATGTGATGTAAATATGTACTTCTCACGTGGGTGGTGGCGTAGAAGAGATTTAAACGTGGGACTGTATCTTTTTTATCGCTGTGTGATAGCTGCTGTTGTGGCGATTTCGGCATTCTATCGTTAAAGGTCATTCAACCACTAATTAATAATACTATCTTTTTGGAACCAGGTTACTGCGAAATGTAGTTTATGATGGGTCAAACGTGACCCGATTCCGCTTTTCGTTCGACTGTTAACTTAATTAGTGAGACCTTTAGCCATCCGACGGTTAATTTACAATTAGTTAGTGAGAGCATTAAGATCAGTTGAAGGTCAATTGGATTTGTTTAATCGGCACGTGGTATATTTTTTAACGAAACGAGTTCAACGACCCCATATGTTGCATAACTTTACTGAACAATGTGAAAATAGAACAACGCAATGTAAGTTCAGTCAGTAGGAACGTATTGATTTGATGGTCAAGTGTAGGCATTTTGCACTAAAGGTTTAAATATTTCAACGTTGCATAAATGTATATTTCCCCCGGTGTTATATTGGTCGTGTAGATTTCTTGGAGTGACCGCCCAAATCTCCAGATCTACCTCCACTGCAATTGTTTTATTCGTTTATGGGGGTACGTTAAGGAGAGAATTTTTATTTGTCAGCCAATAAGTATGAAAGATACACGAAGAAAGAATTTCGAACCTGTTTAAAAGCATCAATTTGATACTGCTTGTGGCTGTACAAGATAACTTACGTTTTGTTGTATTTTCACATTTTTTAATAAAATCATGCCTACCATCCTCTGCCATTCAATAGAAAAAAAAATGTACCATCTGCTATTTAAAAAATCCAACTGATCTTTAAATAATCGTAATTCCCCCACTAAGTGAATTTACACGTATTTACACACTTTAGTGTTCCTCCGCTTCCTTTGATCTTCCAAAAGCAAGTTTTCCAATTCAGCGTACTTTCCGAAATATAAACATTTATATGTTAAAATGGATCACCCTGTATATGTTTCGGGATTATGGAAGATTTCATTAAACCATTTATGTATATCTTCATAATAACAGAGATATTTGAGTTTCTCATGATAAATGCTATTGGTTCATTAGCATATCGGTTCAGTTTCATATGGTATACAGATTTGCCAGAGGAAATTATCACAGTTGCAACACAATAATTGTATGATAATCATTAATTGTAGCATTACAAGTCTACAAAATAAAGTACTCCTTCCTATACTAAATTATATTATATTTATATTCTTTTTCAATATTAATTTAGTACTGCTAAAGATTAGAGATTGTAATCACTGTTTAATTAGAACACTAAACTTTTTTTAGTGTTCAATGTAGTTTAGTATTGTTTCAAATATATTCAATAGTTCTGCTTTTATGGGGAACAGAATCGCTTGATATACATGCACAAGTAAATACATACATTAAGAATATATTTCTTCCAGTTTTTGCTATTATTTTTAGCCTTTTGGTGAAAATTTCACGAAGTTAATTATTTATTATATTATTGAACTATTTGTATGAATAATTAACGAGTTATTTTTAAATATGTTTCACTTACAATAAATTGTAAAGTGATGTTTTCTGGATTTCAGATAATTTTCATGAATTTTATACCCTTGGATCTCGTGGACCTAATGGCCAAAGTAGCATAAGCTTTTTAGATCCAAACACCGGTGTTCTTTTTTATGCATTGACTAACCTGAATGCCATTGCATGCTGGAAACCCCGAAGTATGTTTACAATTCAGCAACAAGGCTTCATTTATATGGACAACGTTACAATGATCTTCCCTAACGATATGAAGGTAAAGGGTATTATTAATTTTATGTTCAGTTAAACTTTGCATTCTTTTTCCAAGTAGAAGTTTTATAGTGCGCTTTGCATAACTTGTAATGAACAGCACAACTGAAAACGAAGTTATTCTACATGCAAAATGAAATCGAATATATATTTTCTTTGGTTTCAAGAAAGTTGGGTTAAGAAATTCGTCAAATATGCGTACACTTAAATATATGTAGGTACACTTTATCGTACTGTAATGTACTTACTATTTTGAGAGGGAAGTCTTCTTATACTCACCAGTAGATCCGTAATTGCAACATATTTTCTTCTGTGAAAAGTTTGCCGAATACGATTAGAATTATATTAGAATTAGAATACGATTGCCTAATTTTAAGTAACCATATTCTACGAATTTTTAATCGACTCTTTGAATAATACGTCTATCAGGAATACAACGATTGTGATATTTTTCTCTATAGAAATGAGTTATGTTCTATATTCCGTAGCGATGACATAAAAATTTTGTGGCTGTACAAGATAACTTACGTTTTGTTGTATTTTCACATTTTTTAATAAAATCATGCCTACCATCCTCTGCCATTCAATAGAAAAAAAAATGTACCATCTGCTATTTAAAAAATCCAACTGATCTTTAAATAATCGTAATTCCCCCACTAAGTGAATTTACACGTATTTACACACTTTAGTGTTCCTCCGCTTCCTTTGATCTTCCAAAAGCAAGTTTTCCAATTCAGCGTACTTTCCGAAATATAAACATTTATATGTTAAAATGGATCACCCTGTATATGTTTCGGGATTATGGAAGATTTCATTAAACCATTTATGTATATCTTCATAATAACAGAGATATTTGAGTTTCTCATGATAAATGCTATTGGTTCATTAGCATATCGGTTCAGTTTCATATGGTATACAGATTTGCCAGAGGAAATTATCACAGTTGCAACACAATAATTGTATGATAATCATTAATTGTAGCATTACAAGTCTACAAAATAAAGTACTCCTTCCTATACTAAATTATATTATATTTATATTCTTTTTCAATATTAATTTAGTACTGCTAAAGATTAGAGATTGTAATCACTGTTTAATTAGAACACTAAACTTTTTTTAGTGTTCAATGTAGTTTAGTATTGTTTCAAATATATTCAATAGTTCTGCTTTTATGGGGAACAGAATCGCTTGATATACATGCACAAGTAAATACATACATTAAGAATATATTTCTTCCAGTTTTTGCTATTATTTTTAGCCTTTTGGTGAAAATTTCACGAAGTTAATTATTTATTATATTATTGAACTATTTGTATGAATAATTAACGAGTTATTTTTAAATATGTTTCACTTACAATAAATTGTAAAGTGATGTTTTCTGGATTTCAGATAATTTTCATGAATTTTATACCCTTGGATCTCGTGGACCTAATGGCCAAAGTAGCATAAGCTTTTTAGATCCAAACACCGGTGTTCTTTTTTATGCATTGACTAACCTGAATGCCATTGCATGCTGGAAACCCCGAAGTATGTTTACAATTCAGCAACAAGGCTTCATTTATATGGACAACGTTACAATGATCTTCCCTAACGATATGAAGGTAAAGGGTATTATTAATTTTATGTTCAGTTAAACTTTGCATTCTTTTTCCAAGTAGAAGTTTTATAGTGCGCTTTGCATAACTTGTAATGAACAGCACAACTGAAAACGAAGTTATTCTACATGCAAAATGAAATCGAATATATATTTTCTTTGGTTTCAAGAAAGTTGGGTTAAGAAATTCGTCAAATATGCGTACACTTAAATATATGTAGGTACACTTTATCGTACTGTAATGTACTTACTATTTTGAGAGGGAAGTCTTCTTATACTCACCAGCAGATCCGTAATTGCAACATATTTTCTTCTGTGAAAAGTTTGCCGAATACGATTAGAATTATATTAGAATTAGAATACGATTGCCTAATTTTAAGTAACCATATTCTACGAATTTTTAATCGACTCTTTGAATAATACGTCTATCAGGAATACAACGATTGTGATATTTTTCTCTATAGAAATGAGTTATGTTCTATATTCCGTAGCGATGACATAAAAATTGAAAAGTATGTAATTCTGATCTCCTTTGATTGTAGAAGCGAGGGTAAAGGAAAGATTGTGTTTCCAATATTGAGAAATATAAATACTTACAGAAACCTGTGTTCGTGAGAATTGCGCACAGTTGAAACTTTAATTTATACTACATCAAAAAGTTCAATATTTGTATATTTTAAATGAAAAAGCTTTTGTAAATACAAATTAATTTTTCATTCGTACCTTTAAGTTTCTCGAAAGTTCAAAGTTTATTAAAATACCGTTACAGTAGTACATATTAATTTAACCAACCTTTTTTGGCAATTTGGTAGTGAAAATAAGTGCTGAATTTACTGAAAATAAACATTGAAAGCAGATCGAATTTTAAACAGATATGAGCAAGATGTTTATTATGTCGATATTTGAACGTTAGATATATTCGGAAATAACGCAACGATTCGAGCAAAAATGTTCCATTGTGTATCTGTTTATTTTCGCTTTATATATGTTGACCGAAATCAACAACTCTGCGTTACTCTGACCTCTCGTTATATGTTTAGATTAGATACAAGTAATATCGATAACAACACTTTCTCCTGGAATCTAAATAAAACATTTTCAGTTTTCGAAACTTCCAGTGTATTTCCTAATTCTCGGGGAATTTCTTTATCTTTATGTACTTCTACTTCTATTATTTTATACTGTACTTATTTGTTGTTAGCGTTCGTCAAGCTTATGATTTCCTTTAATTTCAGATTGATCAAAGTGGAAATATCTGGGTACTCTCAGATCGCTTGCCTACTTTTATGTACTCTCACTTGGACCCTGAAGACTACAACTTTCGAATTCTTACGGGTTCAGCCAGAGAGGCTATAAAGGATACTGTTTGCTCGATGAATCCACCCACAACCGCCAATAGGCCAAGTAACTTTTCGACAGAAGTGAAGACCGTTTCTTCAAAATCGACTGAGAATTCTGGTTGCGTCAATAATGCAGAGTTAATACTGTCCTTGGCAACTGTCGTAGTACTTCTTGCAAGAACGTTTATTTGAAAAGCCATTTCGAACAGGGCAAATAGTTGCAAGAATTTATTGGGCGTTTCTCGAAATACCGGGAACAGATCTCGGAGAACATTAATGATTTCTCGTGAACAGGAAGGGATTGAATCAAGAAGATTAGTTAAAAGATTGGGTAACAAATAAACGAATGTCACGCGTGGTTTTCTTTCGAGTTATAGTATAATATAATCATATTTTACAAGTGTGGTATATGATCGTTTTTCTTATACGTTAGACAGAAAATATATCGTTACCAAAATTGTTAAAGGGAAAGGCTATTTTATTCATTATAATTATTTCAGATATAATTGTTGCTTGTTTTCAGAAGTTGGTTTAAGTGTATTACCAGGTGTATCGAGATGTAGAAATATACTTGAGTAAATTTTACTATAATTTATTTATGAAATTGATATTTAATAAATTATGTCTGAATTTGGTATTTTGAAAAATAATGATTCGGTTCTGCTTAATAGTACCTACATACATAGTAGTATTAATGAGTTCAAAGTATTCAAGTAATTTTTTAGTAAAATCGTGTTCTTTTATCCTTGAAAAAGTATACAACACAGACAATAAGAAAATTTTCCAAAAAGCTATGATTTCTAACATAGTACATAAATGGTATGCTTTTGTACTTTGTAATTGCATATTCTAATGATTAATTTGAACAGAGTTTATCACGCATAAATTATTATCTAATAAAATTGAAATACACGATTTCTAAAATTCTATATTTCATAAATTAGAAATATTCGTATGTATCAAAATAAAGGATTAATTTTGTGAATAATATCTGATGTATAAGTGAATAGATTTTGAAAATTTATTTCATTTTAGCGAAATTGCATAGACATTAGAGTCTAATGAATAGACTGATTGTAGTTATATACATAAATATATTATCGACTCATAAACTCATCTTGTGTATCAACCCATTATAATTGGCATAATTCGCAAGAAACCTCTACGATGGTTACTTTCAACATTGGAATTTACTGAGTAAAATCTTATGAATCATGCTAATAATATAATTTACATTGTACATATGTGCATACATACCAGGATATTCGATATTCACAGTGGGAGAAATTTCAAGTGGCAAAAATCAAGAAAAAGCAATTTCGAATTCAGCCACATTTTTTAGTTATAAGCAGCTAAAAATTAGCCCGAGGCTAAGTAATCCTCCTGGCATCGGTGAATCTAAAATGTCTCATCGTAGGGTGTAGGGGTTTTTTTTTTATAAATGTAACGATGCATTCAGGAAATACAAATGCACTTTTTTCCTAAATGCAATCATATGTTTTTTTTACTGTATATCGATTCATCGCAACAATCTGTATGAACAAGTATTAGTGTACAATGTTAAAAAAAATCAACTATTCGTGAGATATTATATCAACAACCCGGCACGTGACAGGGATTCTGCCTGCGTTGCAATGAATCATCCAATATCAAAAATTTCCGAAGAAAATGAGTCAAAATACGACATAAAGTAAAGTATGTAGTTCTACCACTCATCAATTTAAATATCCCGGATTTTTCAAGGAAGTTTTTAAAAATGATTACTCTTAAGGCTAGTCCAATTTATGTCTTATTTGAACTCATTTTCATCAGAAAGCCCTCACCAATTCACTAGTACTATTTTCATAAAGATAGGATGAAGATGATAAAAATGACTATACTGTTGGATTACTCATCGAGCGCCCGAATTATTCCTTTGATCTACTATCGACTGCTCACGCGAAGCTCGATCGTCGCTTATCATTTTTCATAGAAGAGTAAGTGCGATAGCCTTACTTTATCACTATTGACTGATTAACTAACAGTGTAGACGTCACAATTTGTCTTACGTCTTTCACTTCTGTGTTAGATCCTAAGGCCCGCCTGAAGCCTCATCATAGCTTCGCCGATCTGGACATGTTCAGTACATGGAGCACCTGACGTTATTAGCTGTGCATGGTGCAATAGTTAATTGTTTCAAGAATTTCTATGAAAAATTTCACTATCCTTCTGGGCAAACATAAAACATTATTCTGTGAAAATCTTATCATACTTTCTAGTTGTAAGTTGTACTTATAGCTGTTATTAGACTTGTTCACATCTGCAATTTTAGTTAAGCCCTATTATATGTTTCTGTTGTACAAGCTTTAATAAAAATAGTGCTTCGATGAGGAGTACTGCCTTTCTCATTATAGTAAATCAGTTGTTGAAGGAAAAATAATTTTGTGCAAAACAGATGTATGTTACACTTGAGTAACAGAAAACAACTTTTATACGTTAAAAATTGGTAATGGAAATCACGTAAACGTGTAGACGTACGGTAGAACGGTAAATAATTATATTTCGGCAGATTGTGTAAAATGATAATGTTTTTGTTACCCCTGACCGTTAAATATTTATATGTAAAATAACAAAAAAATAATTTGTAAAATAATTTTTACGGTGGAGTTACAAGGTTGAACATCAATAAGATAAATAGGAAAAAATTAAATTTTGATAAATAAAAATTCACATACTTTGGGAAAAGTTTCTAAAATAACTGCAGAACACTTAGGATTATTGGAACACATCTACTTTTAATAGGATAACGAAAAAAGCTCTAAAAAAGCATGGATATTATTATGTTTTGTATGATATCAAATTCATAATCAATGCTACACGAACTAAAATGCAACTAAAAATGAAAATTTGTATTTTGAATTTTATTCGTTTCAAGTATTTAGATCTTACGATTTAAGTAGAATTCTTTTTATTATAAAGTACAGTACGGTATTACAATAATTATAAAATTCCGATTTTACTTTTGTCATTACTCCAATAATTGGACAAAAGAAAAGAAAATGTATGGAAAAATTTTTAATTTCAATCATCATATTTACTTTTGTAAATATCTCATCCTTTTACTCTTGTAAGTCATCTTATGGAGATTTTTTCTAAAAAATGCTACAATCATAGTTTACTTCGATAAAAGTATCTGATATAAATTTTCGAAAAAAGTGGAGTCAAGATAAAGGGTAACTGTGATAGAAAGTTGCGTTAGTTATTAAAGTAAATATTATGGCACTGTCGGTATATTCTCATGTTACCGAAAGCGGCAAAACTTTCTGATAAACATGATGTTTCATTGATGTTTATTTCATTTACACAGTTTTCAATGTTTCTGTAATAACACATAACTAAGTTATCGCCTGCTGGATTGGCTATCGTTCCGGGGTCGAAGTACAAACTAGTTCGTTCTGATTTTGACCAGTGGATGCTTCTTTCACGTATATAAGAAAGAAGAATTGTATTTTAAAGCGTTTTAAAACCAGTACGTTCAGCGACGTGGTAAGCTTCGATCTTAACTAGTGTTATAGTTTTTCAAGTATTTTTCGCTTAGTGATTAACACCTCTGGAATAGTTCTTATAAACGTATCATGTATTCGTTTAACTTTCGCAACTGAAACGTTTAACGAGTGTTTTTAATGTGAAGATCAAGGTAAACGTAATAGAAAAAGTTCATATACAGAGTGTATTGGATTATGGGAGTTACTGGTTGTTAAATAATTAATAATCCTTATTTTAATCTATAAACTTTTATTAGACACAAGGAAGTTTCGCTTTTCTACTTGATGGTAAGAGCACTGTACACAGTCTGAGAATTCTCCTATGCAACGCCCTAATATTGCCTACGACCCCGCTTGAGGGGGCCCTTTGTCACGTATCATAAACATTTAGTTCTTTACTAAACAGAGGTGGTAAAGCTAAACGGATTTCTCCGAACGTATACAAAAGAAATATACACTTCCTAGTGTCGTCGATTCACTTTAGACGGTGGATTTTAGGAATTATCTTTATTTGTTGATAAGTTTTCTTTATACTGTTGGTTTTGCGGATGTAAATTGTACGGTCTAAACTTCCTTGTTATGCAATGCTGACTGCTCTTCGTCCTTTTTCGAGGCTGCTTTTATATTGGGGTTTTTGGGAGTTGCGGGTGGGGGAATTTAGGAATGCGTTCGTTAGGTAAGGACCAGGAATGTGTAAGGATAATGATCAGGACTCGTTAGGATTGAGGGTTCGATGGTACGGGAGAAGAATTGCAGGGACAATGGTTCGGTACAAAAGAAATGGGTAGAGTGCATCAGTTTGAGGATCTGCCGGAGATAGGACAGGAATTCGGTGGGAAAGTGGAAAACGCGGAGGTAGTTGTCGAAACTGTACCTGGGATAAGGATCTGTATGCATGGGAGTCGAGGGACAAAGGGATGAGGATTCGACACTAGTAAGGCCTTAGATTAATTTTTGTTATATCTAACTGACTGATAAATCTAACAGAGTGGTCCGTAATTCATGGTACAAGTGGGGTCAGGGGGATTCTGTGGCTTAAAATAAGACAAAAATTAAGGAATAACAAAATTACGTTGGATACTTCGTTTTCGAGAGAAATGCGTTTAAAAATGAATCGAGTACGCGTGCACTTGACTGATAACTGACGTTACGGATTTCACTACAGATCGCTACTGGGACTGTTTTTGTATACGATGCAACGTCGCGACTTGTTTACTATCAATCCTTATCTATCAATTCGTTTCTGAGGTTTGCAAATAAGCACAATGAACGTAACAAAAGGCAGTAATAAACTGTCCATTTTAGTTTTCATTGAATTTAGTTTATTATTTTGTTTATCCGGATGGCAACGATTACAATATCGTTCACGATAATAGCGTGTTGTAGTAAATGCATTTCCAATTTAAGAAGCATATCCGTATACTCTTCCTTACTGTATCGAGTGTAAGTAACACTCGACAACAAAGAATTAAAATCCGGATAGTGCGGTATCCCAAAAATAACTTATTCTTTATTTCTAAGCGCTTCTTAAGATTTCCGGCGTCCGTCTTGCTCGACGGCTATTTCCAGAATGTCCTTTCCGCGTCGTATCCCACGTTGCTCCGAAAAACCGTTGGAGCCCCCTCGTTGGACTTTTCGGGAGAAGGGCTTAGTTTATGGCACCCTCAGGTACCCGCGCGCTTTCTCTTCCCGGGTTACAAAGTCCAGGCCACCACTTCGCCGCCGGAATCTCGCATTTCTTACACGAGAGTTAATACCGGTGGCACATGTGACAATTCTGATAGGAAATAAGCTATATTTTATTGTGTACAAAAACAGCGTACTCGACCGATTTTCAAATGCACTTTTCTCGAAAACGATGCCTCGAACGCAATTTCGTTTTATTTTGCCCCACAGAATCTCCTTGATCCCATTTGTACCATGAATTACGGACCACTCTGTATGTACGATTCAATAAAATTCACAGTTCCACGTATTACGATTTTCTGCAATTGAACTATACTTTCATTATATCCACGTTTCTCCCAAACTTACCGACACTTGCTTGTGCTTATTTCAGTGACAAATATTACGATAAGGCAATCAAGGTACAAATTGATTTTATTCACGCTTTCGTTACTTGTACCAACCGTTCTCTTTGATGATATTCCTTCGTAGTTTCTAATTCATCACGAGGAAAGCGAACGAAATGTGTCTTATATTTATTGCTTCTAACGAAAAGAGTCCTCTATAGAAAATAATAATCTGTATTACAGCAACAAAGTCGTACAAAACGTTTCTTTAACTTGATTGTAAAAAATCTTATACTAAAGGAATTTGTTTAGCAAATTTTAGCATTAAAATAATTTTTTGATTTCTATAACACAAGAAGTTCCTTTTTATTTTGTTGATCTGGGATCATATTACGTTAATATGAAACATTATTCATTAAGAAATTACGAATTTCCTAAATTTCACTATATCTTTAAAAAAATTAGTACCTTGGTCTTCCTTTAAAGTTACATTGGTTGGAAGATAGATGAAGAACAAAATAAAAGATAACGAATGAAGAAACGATGGTTTTCTACTTTCTTCATTTATTAAAAATTTGGTTCATTTAATGGATTTAAGGTCTGCAAATATTATGCAATTTTGTCTAATAACTTAAAACTTAATACAATTTTAAATTGTTTAAAGATTTGTTTAACTACGTTCCTTACGTGAAGTCTATTTAGATCGCTAGATTCATAGAAACAAATTTTCAAGTCTTCTCATTTCTGTTACGAAAGAGAAATTTCTTTAATAATTTTTGTCAAGTTAACGGGCGACGAGAAACAAATGTCTAATGTTAAAATGTCTCTTACAAAATCAATAAAAGATTTCTAAAGTTCTCGATATCTTGAAGTCTGATTGATATTTCAGGTTTTCTTGATTTTTATACCGATACGAATTATTTAGCATATCATGTTTATATAAATATTGTGTTGCGCAGGATAGTAAGAATAGTGATACCATGACGAAACTGGAAAGTACGATTCCAGGTCTCAATAATTTTCCGGCGAGAGACCTGAAGTTCAAAACACCGTATAGTTTTCTTGAAGGAAGGAGGCAAATAGATGGTGCAGAAGGTCTATGGAGAATTGGGAATAGTTTATACGACTTAGAAGGCTTCGCAAGAAACCATCCAGGTGGTCAAGAATGGATTCGTCTTACCAAGGGTACAGACATTACGGAACTTTTCCAGGTAATTCAGTCGTATTTATTCGGTTATATATTATCTTATATATCTGCGAAAATATTAGTCATGCATGTAGAGAAGAAGCTGTAAATAAAAGAACTTAACATCGATATTCTATTCATTTTCATTCTGGCAGCGTACTGCTTGAAGACTAACCACGATCTAGACTCTAGATCCATAATCCATGTAGAAGTATAATTCATGCCTGCAAATACAATGAAACACAAATCCAATCTATCTAATTGTAATATAAAGTCTGTAATGTTTTAAGATCGTTCGTCTCGACTTACAACTAATGTGTAAACCATTTTTCTTTTCAGACACATCACTTAACCGATAGAGCGTCAAGACTTCTCCCAAAATACTTCGTAAAAGAAGCAGTTTCACCACGAACAGTGTCGTTAACGTTCGAACCGTATGGTTTCTTTTCCACTTTCAAAAAACGTGCAGTGGAAGCCTTAAAAAATGTTGATTTCCATCGGCCATCGAGAAAATCTAATCTCATCGCGGATTTTCTTGCCACTACCACCATGCTCCTTTGTCTCGCAGTAGCTTACACGCAGTCTTATTTAATGATCGTGCCTGCTGGTTAGTAAAGCATATACGTTATAATTTCAATTGAGCATGGTACAATGAAAACGAATAGATGAACGTCTGTAACGATTATAGTTTAAAATTGTTCAATTTTTTCTATAAAAATTTGTAAATATTAGAATCACTTTATAACCACGGATTTTTTGTAAATAAAAAGGAACGTACTTTTACAATCATAACTGTTCCGTCGCGCAGGTACGGAACGCGTGGGGTCTTCGTTGACCGGGTTTATGGCACGCTCGCACGAGAAGGTTATTTTTGAGAACAAAGACGCTTCGTAGCTCCGCGAAAAGTAATTTCTTACAGAACAATGCCTTTAGAATTTCGACTTTCCGCGGGTTGACGCAGCGAAGATTCCACGCACCCGCAGGTAGGGCCTCCTTCCAAGGAAAAGCGCGCTAAGGGCGCAATGGAAGGGTGGGTGACACTCAAGGGGGCACGTTGATTGGTAATTTCTGCATACATGAAAAACCAATCAGTGTGCCTTCTTACACTTGGCGGGGGAGTCACTGCGGACTCCAGAAAAATTCGGGGATCGAGAAACACATTCGCAAGGATTCTCTCGTGTGAACAACACATTCTCCAGCCATTCAACGAGACACAAATAGGAGTCACGATCGAATACTCGAGTTTCAAACAAGTCGTCAATCGTTTCGTGAGGCACTCTAAATTTTGCTAACGTTCCGAGCAAGACAAAATTTCGAAGTAGTTACCTAAGATTAAGTTGGCGGGTAATAGTCGTGAGCGCGAACATTTTGAATAATCAAAGGAGAACGCGACGCGACAATGACAGAGTACCGTGTAATCTGTTTCGACACTTCTTACTAAAAATTTGCAACAGTTCGTTTGTGTGATTTAAAGCATAAGGTACAATGATAATTGAAATATTTCTATTTTCAGGAATCTTTCTCGCATGGACTACGATAATTGGGCACAATTATTTTCATATGAGGGACAATTTTCGAATGTATTACTTTGACTTGAGTACAATGTCGTCGAAAGAATGGCGGATAACACATGTAATGAGTCATCACATTTATCCCAATACAATTTGGGATTTTGAAATTTACGCGCTGGAGAAATATGTTCAGTGGCTGCCAAATTACAAGAAATCGTTGCTGAAGAGTGTAATTAGCCAAGTCATGAGTCCTGTCATTTATGCACTAATGTTTTATGAACAATCAATCAAAAGGTGTGAATATCATTTTTCATGCATCACGCATCATATCTGCATTTCTATCCACAAAATGTTTGCGTATTTATGCATTTAGCTAATTTTATATTCTTTGAATAACATTGATAATTTGAGAAGTAGTTAACATTTTCTTGTTCAAATATTATTCACTCGATCATTTTAGAAGAAATGGCATCAATCATAATTATCTGTGATATCCACTTTTAGAAGTGTATTTTTTCTTTTAAGTAACTTTGTCTGTATTACCGGCTTAAAGTTTTAACGAGAAATATTGAAACGGTAAATTATTAGAAATGTTTTACACGAACATGATTAAATAAAGTCACGCAATAATTTATCAACGATTAACAGGTATTATACTTTTATACAGGTATATTTTTGGAGGTCCTAGGCGTAACGTCATTACGATACCTCAAAAGAACAAGTCTGTTTCAGTTAATCAAATTCATACAGATTCTTTTTTAAATTCACTGAAAATAAAATCAACATTTCCATAATGACTCATTTTAAAAAAATAAAAATAACACAACATTGGTATACATACATATATTTGCATTAAAGAAAAGTATAAAAATAAATCAGCTCAAATTTAAATTAAAAAAAATTAATAATTGAA